CCCAAGCACAGGCTCAACAACAGCAGCAACAGCTGCTGATGAACCAAAATGTGCAGGCGATGCAGAATCGGATGGGTCAACCCATGGGGCAGAATCCTCAGCAAGGCTTCCAACATCTGCAGTACCCTATGCAGGCTTCTCAGATCCCTCAGCAGCCCGGCATGGGCATGGGCATGGGCAACGGTGGTGCACAGCCAGTCGGTCCACAGCAACAAATGTTCCAGATGCCAAACGGTCAAGGACAGCCTCCGAACATGATGCAGAACCAAACACCGAACGGAATGCCACAAGAACAAGCCAAGATTGCCGCAGAGTACCGCAGGCTCATGATGACGGCCACACCGCAGGCCAAAGAGCAGGCACGAAGCATTGTCCAGAACAAATGGCCCGATCGATATGCCCTGTGCCAGCAGAAAGGACAAGATGCTGCCGAGTGGCTCTATTCACAACAGGCCATGAGCAATGTCGCCAAAGCGAACGCCGCGCAGCGTGCGCAGGCTGGAGGCATGCCGCCCAATGCCAATGCCGCTGGACATCCCATGATGCAAGCCGGAAGAGGCCAGATGAACCCAGGCATGATGACCCCTGGCGTCGCCCAGCAGGGCGTGGCCGCTGGAGGTGACATTGTACAATTCAGCTCAAACATGGAGAGCATCATGAACCAGCAAAAGGCTGGAATACTCGCTCAAGAGCAGGGTCAGATGGTCGTTCCCGCCAATACTGGTCCGGCCCGCAACGCCACTCCCCAACCGCACGCGGGCGCTCAAGGACAGCAGGGTCCAAACCAGACGCCTCGCCGCAACATGCCCAGCAAGCTCAGCAGCAGCAACCACCCTTCAACATGCAGCAGGCTCAGCAGCAGGCCATGGCGCAACAGCAGGCGCAGCAGCGAGCGCAGCAGCAGGCCCGTCAGTTGCAAGGTCAGCCGAACGGGCTTGGCGGCGGCATCCCCCCCTCGCAAAGTCCAGGCATGAACACCCTCAACACCCCCATGCGACGACCACC